GAGGGTGTGTGGTTATTAACGAGGGTTTGTGGTTATTAACGAGGGTGTGTGGTTATTAACGAGGCTGAATGTTTATTAACGAGGGTGTGTGGTTATTAACGAGGGTGTGTGGTTATTAACGAGGGTTTGTGGTTATTAACGAGGGTGTGTGGTTATTAACGAGGCTGAATGTTTATTAACGAGGGTGGGGTTATTAACGAGGGTGGGGTTATTAACGAGGGTGTGTGGTTATTAACGAGGGTGTGGTTATTAACGAGGGTGTGGTTATTAACGAGGCTCAGTGTTTATTAACGAGGGTGTGGTTATTAACGAGGCTCAGTGTTTATTAACGAGGGTGTGCTTATTAACGAGGGTGTGTGCTTATTAACGAGGGTGAGGTCGTTTAAAGATGGCAAATGTTTACGAAAGATGACTGTTTAACGAGGTCGTAAGCATTTAAAGAGGGTGTTTAACGAGGCTGAGTGTACGAAGAGAGTGAGTGAATAACGAGTGTATGACCAGAGTGTAAAAACAGTGTGAGCACATCAACAATTACTAACAATGAGTGTATAATCTCCCACGTAAAAGGCTATAATGTTGAACACTGTTCATTGTATAATCCTCACTTAGAATAATCCTGGGTCCCTGCCCTGACGTTGATGCTACATTGGAGGCCTGGTCGACGACCGGGCCGCGGGGTTGCTGAGCCCCGGAATCACCTCAAGGTATTACCTGAAGGTACGTCAGTTGTAGAGGGCAGGAGCTCACTGAGGGCTGGGAGACATAGACTTAACACACATTTTAACACATTCCCAATTACTCATTTGTTATTAGTGGTTGACGTTCAGCTGGAGAATTATTAAGGCCACTTCACAACTGTTCACTTGGGAAGTTCACATGCTGAGTGAAGAGAGTGAACACGAGGGTGAACAAGATCATTGTAAAGCTCATGTACCAAACACAGTCACGTTCAGTAGAGTATAACTGGACGTTTAATATGGTGGTGTATAATAGATTATAGATGATATACGTGTAATAGATGACTACGTACTTATCCTGAGGTTATCTTGAGTTGATTTCGGGGTTTTAGTGTCCCCGCGGCCCGGTCCTCGACCAGGCCTCCACCCCCAGGAAGCAGCCCGTGACAGCTGACTAACTCCCAAGTACCTATTTACTGAAAATTAGAAAGTAGCAAGAGTTACTATTGAATTTGGACAAACTGGAAAAGGTTTTGTATTTATGTTGCAAAGATAACCTAACCTTCCTAGGCCTAATGCACGCTATCTGAGGCCTAATAATAGTACATATATGTGCTATAATAGGCCTAGGAATATTTAAAGTTTGATTTTTAGCTTTATTTTTGGGGGCTTTATAAAGTGAAAAGTACCACATTTAACTACCTAATTGCCTGTTTGTACTATGATGTACATAGTCACTAAGAAGTACTATCTAAACAGATTGGGTTGAGTACTTGCCATCATAGCAAGATTAAACAAATCAACACAAGAAAGAATCTTGCAAACTTTTGGAAAAAAACAAAAAATGTCTACAATATTTTTTGAGGACATACAACAAAAAGTAAAAAAAAAATGCGGCATGAAAAAAAATATATATATATATACAATTGGTGTAGACGAACGAATTTGGAAAGGCAATCATGCGTTTGTGACATGAGGCTTAACCTGTCCGGTGACAGACAGATGAAGGCTCGAACCATGCGTACTGCTGCAGGGCTGGAGCTGGCGTCCTCAGCACCCGACCCAACAGCCCACTAAGTCATGACTGAGAGCACTACGACCACAGTACAAATATGGGAAAGACTTCCTTCAATTCCCATAACTTCCCTTCAAATGTCAGCAAGTTATGACCCATGTTGGGACCGGGGGAGCCGGTCGGCCGAGCGGACAGCACGCTGGATTTGTGATCCTGTGGTCCCTGGTTCGATCCCTAGCGCCGGCGAGAAACAATGGGCAGAGTTTCTTTTACCCTATGCCCCTGTTACCTAGCAGTAAATAGGTACCTGGGTGTTAGTCAGCTGTCACGGGCTGCTTCCTGGGGGTGGAGGCCTGGTCGTGGACCGGGCCGCGGGGACACTAAAGCCACGAAATCATCTCAAGATAACCTCAAGATAACCATGTTGGCCAGAGCAAAGAGTGTGTTTGATGCTGTAAAGTTTGTGGTGTTGTGGTGGTGGCAGATTATCTGGCTGATGAGTCCTCGACATTCGGGAAAATATCATTTTGCGATCAGGAGAGAGTGGAGGAGAGGAGGAGATGACCCCTAGCACTGCTGAGCCTAGCGAGCGCCAGGCGCTGGGACCCTGGTTAACTGTGGCACTCCCCTGGGAAGCTGTGGAGCCGTGTTAAGCTGTGGAGCCGTGTCAAGCTCATATGGGTGGCTGGTGTTTCTCGTAAAAGAAGGGCAGGCAGACCCTCCCCCCCCATACCCACACAACGTAAGGGAACACTGGTACCCCACAGTGTACCACAACACTGGTGTCCCCCAGTGTACCACACAGGTACCCACAGTGTACCACACAGGTACCCACAGTGTACCACACAGGTACCCCACAGTGTACCACAACACAGGTACCACACAGGTACCCCACAGTGTACCACACAGGTACCCCACAGTGTACCACACAGGTACCCACAGTGTACCACACAGGTACCCACAGTGTACCACACAGGTACCCACAGTGTACCACACAGGTACCCACAGTGTACCACACAGGTACCCCACAGTGTACCACACAGGTACCCACAGTGTACCACACAGGTACACACACAGTGTACCACACAGGTACCCACAGTGTACCACACAGGTACCCACAGTGTACCACACAGGTACCCACAGTGTACCACACAGGTACCCACAGTGTACCACACAGGTACCCCACAGGTACCCACAGTGTACCACACAGGTACCCACAGTGTACCACACAGGTACCCACAGTGTACCACACAGGTACCCACAGTGTACCACACAGGTACCCCACAGTGTACCACACAGGTACCCACAGTGTACCACACAGGTACCCCACAGTGTACCACACAGGTACCCCACAGTGTACCACACAGGTACCCACAGTGTACCACACAGGTACCCCACAGTGTACCACAGGTACCCACAGTGTACCACACAGGTACCCACAGTGTACCACACAGGTACCCACAGTGTACCACACAGGTACCCCACAGTGTACCACACAGGTACCCACAGTGTACCACACAGGTACCCCACAGTGTACCACACAGGTACCCCACAGTGTACCACACAGGTACCCACAGTGTACCACACAGGTACCCCACAGTGTACCTCACAGGTACCCACAGTGTACCACACAGGTACCCCACAGTGTACCACACAGGTACCCACAGTGTACCACACAGGTACCCCACAGTGTACCACACAGGTACCCACACAGTGTACCACACAGGTACCCACAGTGTACCACAACACTGAACGACAACTTGGAGGGAGAGCAGTGTTGCCGACGCCAGGGCAACGACAACACACGCGGAAGTGTTGCCAGGGCTGGGCGGGGCCGGGCCAGGCCGGCCTCCATATTACTCTCTATTTCCCCTATTTTCCCTACATCCTATGGCTCTTACTGTTCATTTCTTTTAGTGTTCATTTCCCCATCTGGCCAGACGGGAGCTGCTGCGTTTAGCGAAGCTGGGAATGGCTTGGAAAATATATTCCTGCACTTCCCTTCACATTTGCCCCATGATATGTCAAAGGTGACTTGCTTGGAGCCAGGTGTGTGGGTAAGGGGGGGCGGCGCATGGGGGTAGCAGCCCCCCCCACCTTCCTCCTCACTCAAATCACAATATGTCAATAAGACCTTCTATCTGTAATCTCATCTGGGGGTTCCTGCCTTCTTAAACCCTCATTTACCCAAGGACCTTAATTGCCCCTAAATGGTTCTTTGAGGGACATAGAACACGGTAGAGCCCTGAGTGGGAGACATAGAACACGGTGGAGCCCTGAGTGGGGGACATAGAACACGGTAGAGCCCTGAGTGGGAGACATAGATCACGGTGGAGCCCTGAGTGGGGGACATAGAACACAGCGGAGCCCTGAGTGGGGGACATAGAACACGGTAGAGCCCTGAGTGGGGGACATAGAACACGGTGGAGCCCTGAGTGGGGGACATAGAACACGGTGGAGCCCTGAGTGGGGGACATAGAACACGGTGGAGCCCTGAGTGGGAGACATAGAACACGGTGGAGCCCTGAGTAGGTTGCAATAGAACACGGTGGAGCCCTGAGTGGGGGACATAGAACACGGTGGAGCCCTGAGTGGGGGACATAGAACACGGTGGAGCCCTGAGTGGGGGACATAGAACACGGTGGAGCCCTGAGTGGGGGACATAGAACACGGTGGAGCCCTGAGTGGGGGACATAGAACACGGTAGAGCCCTGAGTGGGGGACATAGAACACGGTGGAGCCCTGAGTGGGGGACATAGAACACGGTGGAGCCCTGAGTGGGGGACATAGAACACGGTGGAGCCCTGAGTGGGGGACATAGAACACGGTGGCGCCCTGAGTGGGGGACATAGAACACGGTGGAGCCCTGAGTGGGGGACATAGAACACGGTAGAGCCCTGAGTGGGGGACATAGAACACGGTGGCGCCCTGAGTGGGGGACATAGAACACGGTGGAGCCCTGAGTGGGGGGCATAGAACACGGTAGAGCCCTGAGTGGGGGACATAGAAAACGGTGGAGCCCTGAGTGGGGGACATAGAACACGGCGGAGCCCTGAGTGGGGGACATAGAACACGGTAGCAGGAGTGCAGAGGGTCATCGGTGGCGTTATTGAGCTCGGGGTGGCGCTGCTGCTGGCGGCGGCGGAGGACATTAATAACTTGTGCCGCGGGATCTTGGACCTTCCTGCCGCAGCCCCCCCCCTCCCCCCTCCCGGTTCCACCGTTACACCAAGCACTATGTAAACACCTGGTCTCCAGTGCCTTTTTGGTTAGGAGTGGCGGGGGTGGGCTGCCGGGTGGCGGGGAGCTTAGCGAAGTGCAGGAGCCGCCGTTACGGACGGACTGGGCCCCTTGTGGAAGGTGGTCTTCGGCTGCCTTTGTGGAAGGAGGGCTTCGGCTGCCTTTGTGGAAGGTGGTCTTCGACTGCCTTTGTGGAAGGTGGTCTTCGGCTGCCTTTGTGGAAGGTGGTCTTCGGCTGCCTTTGTGGAAGGTGGTCTTCGGCTGCCTTTGTGGAAGGTGGTCTTTGGCTGCCTTTGTGGAAGGTCTTCGACTTCCCTTGTGGAAGGTGGTCTTCGGCTGTCCTTGTGGAAGGTGGTCTTCGACTGCCTTTGTGGAAGGTCTTCGACTTCCCTTGAGGAAGGTGGTCTTCGGCTGCCTTTGTGGAAGGTCTTCGACTTCCCTTGTGGAAGGTGGTCTTCGGCTGCCTTTGTGGAAGGTCTTCGACTTCCCTTGTGGATGGTGGTCTTCGATTTCCCTTGTGGAAGGAGGTCTTTGGCTGCCTTTGTGGAAGGTGGTCTTTGGCTGCCTTTGTGGAAGGTCTTCGACTTCCCTTGTGGATGGTGGTCTTCGGCTGTCCTTGTGGAAGGAGGTCTTCGCCTGCCTTTGTGGAAGGAGGTCTTCGGCTGCCTTTGTGGAAGGTCTTCGACTTCCCTTGTGGAAGGTGGTCTTCGGCTGCCTTTGTGGAAGGTCTTCGACTTTCCTTGTGGAAGGTGGTCTTCGGCTGCCTTTGTGGAAGGAGGTCTTCGCCTGCCTTTGTGGAAGGAGGTCTTCGCCTGCCTTTGTGGAAGGAGGTCTTCGGCTGCCTTTGTGGAAGGTCTTCGACTGCCTTTGTGGAAGGTGGTCTTTGGCTGCCTTTGTGGAAGGTGGTCTTTGGCTGCCTTTGTGGAAGGTGGTCTTTGGCTGCCTTTGTGGAAGGAGGTCTTCGCCTGCCTTTGTGGAAGGAGGTCTTCGGCTGCCTTTGTGGAAGGTCTTCGACTTCCCTTGTGGAAGGAGGTCTTCGGCTGCCTTTGTGGAAGGTGGTCTTCGGCTGCCTTTGTGGAAGGTGGTCTTCGGCTGCCTTTGTGGAAGGTGGTCTTCGACTGCCTTTGTGGAAGGTCTTCGACTTCCCTTGTGGAAGGTGGTCTTCGGCTGTCCTTGTGGAAGGTGGTCTTCGGCTGCCTTTGTGGAAGGTCTTCGACTTCCCTTGTGGAAGGTGGTCTTCGGCTGCCTTTGTGGAAGGTGGTCTTCGACTTCCCTTGTGGAAGGTGGTCTTTGGCTGCCTTTGTGGAAGGTGGTCTTTGGCTGCCTTTGTGGAAGGAGGTCTTCGGCTGCCTTTGTGGAAGGTCTTCGACTTCCCTTGTGGAAGGAGGTCTTCGGCTGTCCTTGTGGAAGGAGGTCTTCGGCTGCCTTTGTGGAAGGTCTTCGACTTCCCTTGTGGAAGGTGGTCTTCGACTTCCCTTGTGGAAGGTGGTCTTTGGCTGCCTTTGTGGAAAGAGGTCTTCGGCTGCCTTTGTGGAAGGTCTTCGACTTCCCTTGTGGAAGGAGGTCTTCGGCTGTCCTTGTGGAAGGTGGTCTTCGACTGTCCTTGTGGAAGGAGGTCTTCGACTGCCTTTGAGGCTACAGAAGACTTCGAGTATTATGCTGCTGTCTTTATGATGGATGGTTGAAGACCTCGGAGCTCTGGGCTACCAGGAATGCTGGACTGCGGGCTCTGGTCCTCTGAACGCGACATTGGACTTTAACACCACGAAGAGTAGAAGTGTAGCGGACATGGAGTAGCATGAGTCCGGGCCAGAGTTATAATCTAAGGGAAAGGTGTTGTGTGGGGGGGAGGTGGAGAGGTTGCAGTCTCACGGTGATGTCACAACATGACCAATGTAACGTACCGCCTTCAAGCTGCGTCTGTGTATGGTCTGGGGGTGTGTATGAGGAGGTGATGACACCACGTGTGTCATGGGTCTGTGCTCCAGCTCACAATTTACATACAAAATATATATATATAGACCTTTTGAGAAGACTGCGTCTGGCAGGGGAGCTGCCGTGTGGGGCGTGGGAGGTTGCGCCCGATGTTATCGTACGGCACGAGATGCTTCCAGGTCAACCAGATGTTGACCTCCTGGAAGATGTATATTTAGTCGCGGTTATATTTAATATCTGCAGCAACAAATAATATACGAATGTGATGTTTGATGGTAACAATAAGAGTGCAGCGTGGCCACCTCTCACTTGAAGAACACCGTCCCCGCTCCAAAGCTTAAACTGCATTAAAATAGTAATGATTAATAGGTAGGAGTGGTCCTTGAGGGCGTTGAGGGGAAGCTGGGAATGTGTACTATTTACACCATCAACGTAATGACCCCGGGGGCAAGGAACCAGCTCTACCCCCCACCACCAGATCTATTGCTGCCCAGTTATCTCTCGAGGACTGGGTCACACTTGGAGGAGCAGCAGCCTTAGGAGGCGGAGGAACGGTGTCCGAAGGCCCTGGAGGAACTAAGAATATGATACAATTAAGGAACAATCACTTAGTGGTTGT